CATACTTTCATTATTGCCTCATATGGAACACCCGTTTCCTTGGCACGCTTCAACATGCGGTCCTGCTTCGCTTGCCATCTTCTGCGTCGAGCTGAGAGTTGTTTGCTTCTGTTGGCATCATTTGTATTGTCTACAAAGGCCAAATCTTTGGAGTTCTTCACCTTGACTTTTTTTTCGATTTTCAATAATTTGGCTGCGCGAATAGGTTGACCCCCATCACGATTGGATGCAATATTATTTCCTTTCGAATTGTCAAACTTTGTTCTGACGTTCAAATTGGCTTCTTTTTTAACAGACTTTCCTTCTTGACCAACTTGTCGCCCATCATCTTCATCGTTGTTTTTAACATTATCTTCACCTACGTCTTTGAACTTTCTTTTTGTGCCCCAAAATTTGACTGTTTTATGATCTACAATTTCCGCATCTTCAGATCCCTGTGGCTTAATTAAACGTTGGCATTTAGCAAGTTCGCTTGAACCAATTAGCTGATCTTCACAGCCCGCAGATGCAGCTGAAGCATGTTCCGTGTCTTTGAACTTTCCTTTACCGCTCAAAAAGTTGTTGAAATTGCGCAGAACGCGCCTTTGTGACCTCGATAACTTAAATTTTTCTGTGTCGCAAAAAAGTGCGTAAGTAGGGCAACACGTTTTGAAGCTGTTAGGTATGCGAATTATAGTTCCGTTACTAAAGATACAATGTAGACAGAATATCGACAATACCGACGCCAGCCACTGTCCATTAGTATTTTGTAATCCTTTGCAGTGATTTCGCCCGAGATTACATCTGAGACGGTAACACAGCAGTAAACTTACACCAAGTTGATTCAGAATTTCCGCAAAACAGGCAGTAAGCCCTACTGATTTCTCCATTCAAGAGAAGAGTGGAAACCATAATTCAGCAGCACTTATGTGCGACCTTGCTTCGAGTAAGACTCCCGATTAATTTCATTTGTTTTGGTGCGATGAAACGAATCAAAATTTAAAAGGTAGTCTTTTGTAAATTTTTGAAGCGGACATTGATAATTTAAAAATTGTTTTGCAAAATAGGCGTCTTGTTAGAATTAAAGTGCGTGCGATAATAGGGTTAAGAAACGAATTTTATCGCTCACATGTGTATTAGACATTTATGAAGCATAGTTTCCCTAGTGTGCCTAAAATAATTTTAGCAAGTTTTTTTGTTTTTCTTGTTTTTAAAATAATAAAATAATACATTAGTGTCCGATATTGTTACCGGAGCGAGGAAAAGTATTTTAGCTCTAGATTAAACAGACTGTCAGCTAACTCATTTTAGAATGGCAAGAATCCTAATGTGATTTTTAGTTTTACATGTTGTTGCTTAAACTTGGGAATGCGCTTCCGCAATATTTTTTGAACAAAGCCTTTAAGGCCCTCACTCGTCGCATCTCCTGTAAAGACCACCGGTAATAATGGTTCATAAAATTTAGGGAATGCATAACATCTGGATATAGATTGGTGTTTAAGCTTAAAGCAGTGTAGCGTCCTGAGACTTCCCATATGGTGGACGAAGTTAGTAAGTGAGGCCGGATACATGTATTCCAAATAGAACAAGACAAATGGTTTGGAGCACTGCCCCAGGGCATTTGGCCGTGGCTACTGTACACGTGGGCTGGCTTTTGAGCCACGCTCAGGCCCCATTCGCCCCGCCGTCTTCGGAATATATGTATTCAACCTCAGTTGTGCCTTCTTTCACCCTATGGGAAGCTTCAGGATGCTACACTGGTGGCAGCGGAAAGCGAACCCGACATTTTCTTTTAAATGACTTAGGTATAATGTGCTTTTAAAGACTTTCTGCTTCAGTCGAGGTGGGGTCTCTCTCTGCGGCTTGTTCTTCCTTGGTCCTTTGTTAAAAGCGACAGATACCGTTGTCTTACTGGCATCCTAATACGAACAAACTGACTTGAAATGTTTCGAT